GAGAATCAGCATCTCAGAATAACAATGGACTTCTATCAGAACAACTTCAGGATCTCGTAACAAAAAAATCATCTGCTATACTCGAAGGAAATTTCGTTACTCTTATGCCAAATGCTAAGAATTCTACGGAAGGAGCGGAAAATCCTTCTGACGAAATTTTATCAAATTGTTCCGAAACGCAGGAGATTGTTAGAGTTTTAAGCATTCACAAAGATTCCCATAATGAAATATACTTTAAAATCGAGAGGTATCTTTGATATTTCGTGTATTCGTGAAAAAATAATTAAAGAATCTTATATTTTACTATGTTTATTATAGTGATGATAAATCCACATCATTGATAAAACGATCAGAAGCTAATTTGTTTTATCCCCAAGAGGTTTGTGCGTAATTTATAGAAATTATTATTCATTTAGCTGAAAATACTGATTTTTTATTAATAGGTTCTCGCTTTTTATGAGTCCAAGTTGACTTGGAATTGACAATGATGCATCTTTCGAACACTTTTGATAGTGCTCTAACAGTATCTCGCAAATATTGTAAAATTGCATAAGCACACACATACATTGCTTTCAGAAGAATTTTGCTAGTATTAAGTAATCATTGTGCTTAGAAAAGTAATTGTAAACTTAAGCATATACTCAAATAAAAGATTAACTTTTCTTTCGAAAAATCGTGTCATCGACGCGCGTTAAATATTTTCTTATTATTATTATCCTAAGAATAAAACATATGTTAACGAAAAGTTGACTATAATTATTGTTGTGTTGTTGCTTTTATTATTATTATTATTATTATTATTATTATTATTATTATTATTATTATTATTATTATTATTATTATTATCGTTATTATTATTATTATTACAATTAAACGAATACATACTTTCCCAAATCGAGCTTATTATTTATACAATGCTTTCATATGATTTTACTCATTAATTCAAACGAGCATTTTCTGACAGAAAAATCGATGAAGCTTCACATACGAATTATAACTCTCTGCTTCAGTACATAGTATTTCTACATTTTTCTCAAAATCTGATTTTGGCGTATTCAAATATTCGACCGAGAACGTAACCAGCCAACGGAATTCAATTTCAGCCGCAGCTCTTGCAATTTGACTTTCGTTTCGGTTCAACGAGACACATCGATAATCGTGCTGAATATTCTGAAGTTGACCAGTATTATCAAGAATCGTGGCGAGATTTTCGACAAAAGATAAATCAACCTGTGCTTTACGCATCTTTTCAAGAACTATTTTGTACGAAGGAATGTGTGAGCTATAATACGTGCTAAATGAAAAAACTATTTGTTTACTTACAGTTATAAAGTGTCTGATTTGCAATTGGACCCGTATCATAAATTAATGGATCAATTGCGCAAATTTCCAACCAGCCACCTGGCTTTACTACCCTTACTAGTTCATTAATATCAAATTTCCCGACACTCAGCAGAAAAAATGCAGAATTCACGTGTACATAGTCGAAAGTTCGACCAGATTTATAGAATGGCATTTCTAATTTGAGATCACCGTGACAAAATTCTACGTTGAAAGGTTTAAAAGAAGGATATGCTTCTATGGTGTCGTAGCCTGTGAAATTAGATTCTGGGTAGTCGGAGGCAACATCGAATAACCTATGATGATGATGATTTTAAAAAAGAGCAGGTAGAAATAAATTAGAAAAATAGTTTCCAGAAGATAAAAAATATTTACTATGCTTCCTCTTAGTAAAGAAGAATAGCGTGAATATCTCGAAATTTACTAAAGATATTATAATTACCAAGTTCCAGGTCCGCATCCTTTTTCCCGAATATTTTGTTAATTGAATACATTAAAATTGTTGCAAGCGTAATCACAAGTAATCATCTTTTTGATAACTTACCAACATCTAGTACTTCAGCGCCTGATTCTAATTTTCGAGCGATAGGGCTAGAAAAATTTCCCTGCCAAGTTTCACGTAACATATGATGTTCGACTTGAAGTCGTTCAATTTCAGACTCCTCTTTCACTTTTTAACAAAAGAAATTATGTTACATATAAAAACTCTAAATCTATTTTTACAAGTTCAGCAACGCTTTTCAACAAATCCTACCATTTATGATATAATGTGAATTCCTTATTTCGTTCACACTCGATTGAATTACTCCCATTTTTTTTTATTGCTATATATTTCTCGATAAAGAGAAGAACGAAACAAAAACCAAATAACTTGATTTAAATATTATTTATTTGTTGCTTTTTTATTTTGTAAATACATGTAATTGTTTTATTAGCTTGACGAAAGGTAATTATCAAGCTATCCACCTGTTTTGATAAATTTTTTCCATATGAAGATGTGTGTATGCGTATGCACGCATGCAAACTATCACTATCACTATTGCCGCTTGCAGAAACACCACATAATATCCTGGACATTCTTTGTAATAACGCACAAACACACAAAAGTGCAACAACGACGGGAAAAATACCAGCAGCGAAAAAGTAAAACTCTATATCATGAGAGACTGGCGTGCGGATTGTTCAAATAGTTGATCTTTCTTAGTTGAGTCGTGTTTTCAGGGTTCATGTCTGTCATTCACCCATATACGTGAAACAGGCCGTAATTCTCTTTCCGGATTTCGGTACTGCAGATTTTATTATCTAAGATAGTCAACAAAGATTAAAAGAATGTAGATGCAGATTTTATTATTGAAAAATACTGAGTTTATCTTAACCATTATAAGCCACACATTGTAGATTTATTATCGCTATCGTTTGTTCAATCATAGTTTGCAATATTCATGTACATGTATATACTAAAGGCTAAACTAAATTATTTTATTTAATATTTACTATTGGTACGTAAATAATCTAATGGATAAGAAAGGGGACAGAGGGAATATGATTTACAAAATTCGACAAGGGTCCAAAATTGTCGAAGGCCATTAATAAAATGAAAACAAGTGTTCAGGATGAAATAAAGTTTGTCATTGGAAGAAGTTTCAGACTGGTCCATTGTGATTTCCACTATTATTTCCGTTGTAATCACCTTGATTATTATTACCGTTTAACGATCCTACATTTTTTATGATTTAAAATTAAAAATTCGATTTCAAATTACACATATTTGAGCTAACAGTTATTTTAATTATTACTTACCAAGCCAGCTACCAATATTACCGTTTCCGTTGTTGCTTCCATTATTAGTTCCGCCGCCATTGTTTGAACCGTTCCACGAGCCATTATAACTACCAATGTTACTGTTTCCGTTATTGCTACCACTCGCTGCGTCAGTGCTTCCGACACCGTTATAAGATCCATTATAGCTCCCTATATTGTTGTTTCCGTTGTTTTTGCCCGAATTACCTGTACCATTCACATTTCCAACGTTATCACTGCCGCCATTATTGTTACCGACATTTCCTGTTCCGGCGTTACCGCAACCGACATTATTTAAACTGGCTTCACAACCGGAGTTACCAGCCCACCAGTCACCTCTTTTGCCTATTGGTGCCGCGGTAACGCATGAAACAGCAACGATCACAACAAGAATAGTTGAAATAAGTTTTTGCACCATTTCTAGGGTTTCTTTATGTTTACTTGGTATGTTTATTTGTTTGTTTTAATTTCCGAACAAAATTCCTTCAATAAAGATGGTGAATATAGATTACCCATGCCTGCTTTTATAGTTAAGAGATAAAGCAAGCGGCTTAGTAAAAAGTCTCAATTAGCAGAGCCTCCAATAATTATAGGCTTAGTGAAAAATGATAAATAATAAATATCAACTAAGTTAGTTACGAAATGAACCTTAAATCTTATTCTTCGTTTATTGAAAAAAAAATCCTAGGATCTATGCGTGGGCTCAGTAAATGCTAAGCATTGGCTTAGCCGGAATACTGTACATTAAATTACGACAAACAAAAACATTGCCACCGCCGTTATTACAGGCTGTGTTATAAGACTTTACAGCGTTAATGTGTGGTCGTACAAGTTATTAATAATTGTAAAGTCTAGATAATTCCCTTTAAACAGCATTCTTCTATTTTTGCCAATTATATCATAGTGATGGCGCCAAAAGCATTAAATTACCTGAATACAATGCATGCATTATGATTATCTTTAAAATCTGAATATTAGATAACTATAATTCGTTCGAGGCAATTCTTTTGGTGACATAATTCAATTCGGGTGCCCTTAAAAATCTCTATTCTCATAGAAAAAATTTTCTTATTAAGACTTCAATGCATAAAAAATTTTACTTATAGGATGCCATATTTTCTATATATATGCAACTTATTCGGATTGAATTCTGTATTGGATCAAAGATTTGTGTCTGCATGACAAATAACGTTAAATTTTTGATTTTTTAGATAATGATAGTTTTTGCATTACATCATCATAAAATCAAGGTTATAAAATCTATTGCCACAGAATTCCAATAAAATGAATAAGTAGTGTGAACACCGATAATTAATTAATTGATTAATTAATTAATTATGTATAGCCTTGAATTTACGAGAAGGTCTCAAGAGGAATTAAAGTTTGCTTCTTTGAAAATGAAAATTCATGTGGATTACTTCTAAAATGTGTGTATGTATGCTTGTGCAAATGTTCTATGGTTTTATATGAGGATTCTATGTTTCTACCATTTACAGACTTCTAAACAAATATGTGTATTAATTAATGAGGTTTGTAATAACATTATTTATATAGTATAGAAATGTGAATAATTGTAAATATTTACATGTTGTTTATACAAAAAGCCTAATAATATTTGTGTGGGTTGGATGACTAATATCATATATAAAGATAATGAATGTAGAAAATCTTATAAAATTTGTGAATATTTTAATGGGACAACCTTAAAACATAATGAATTTAAAAAATAGGGGACATTAAAAAAACGCGGAGCGTGAACCAAATGTGATGATATGTTTCGCTGAGATTCCCACGGTTGAAAATTCACGTGACTATTAGATAAGAAATGTCCGATGATAAAAGAAAATGATAATAAAAATATTTACACATCCAACACATTACGCAATTCCTTTCTCCCATTTTTCTAACGCAATTAAAATTTTTTGTTTGTACGAAATTGTTCTTTTATGAAAGCGCTGTTTCGCCCAGACAAGTGTTGCTAATAATATCATCATGATCCAGCGTGTCAACGATTGAAATTCGTAAGTCGTACAATTTGATGGTACAATTTGAATCATAATGCTTTACTTGTTCTTTTATCTCCCAAACAACACCATTCATCGTCGATGAAATGTATCGACCAATATCGGGCCCAAATGACGATTCGAATAATAAATAACCAATACGTTCGAATGGTTCCATGATTTTTTGTATGGTGGCTTTCATGTTTGCAGGCGGTGCAAAGATGTACAATCGTAACGGATCGCATTTATGAAATGTCATTTCGATTCCGACTTCGAAATTTTGATTTATCAGAAATTCTTCGTAGAATTTTACAGACATCAAGTGTATAACTTTCTTTAATGCTTCGACAAAGTTGTCGATTTCTTGTGCAATCATTTTGTGACGTATTGAAATTTTCGGTATAACTGGGTTTGGTTTTGGCTCTTCAGGTTTCGGTCGTGGTATCATAAAATAATCTAATTCTGCTTCTAATTCTTGCGGTGTTATCGGTATTAATCCTATAACTGATTAAATGAAATAATATATATGGAAAATCTGTATTAAATTTAAAGAATTTGTAGAAGATTCAAATATTTCAATCACCATTTCTCTCTTTACCTTTATCTGAAGTTGGAATTTTTCCGGTCCTGTAGAATTGTAAGATGTATCGAAAAATGTGTCCATCACGATCAATAAAGTATTCGTTTCCATTTTTTGGGTGAAGTAATTCACTGTTCCTCTCGTGAAACATCGTTCCAAGCATGGTATCCGGATATTTTGTTAGTGTTGTTCGACATGTCTCGTACTGATTAAATAAATTTAAAAAAAATTATTATCTGTCTTCGAAATATTTTGAAGCTGCGGGGGAAAAAACACATATTATACACATTATATACACATACTTTAACCCCGCCAACATTTAATACTATTCGTTCATTTGATTCTTTTTGCAGCTCATCAAAAGGTTCAACAGGCATTTTTCTGACTCTTTTGGAAGCAGAAGAAGGCGATATCTAAAGATAAATGTCTGAAGAGATCTCTGAAGAAGCTAACGGAATTTCGATGATAAATGCTTTTTAAAGAATTTTTAGCCTTGTCACTCATTTCCCGTTAAATAAGCTAATAGCCGTTTTCGGACAATGGACGATCTCACGATAACCTTTTTTTCTTGGAAAAAAGAATTTGTTTAGCTAACCGGCAATAATCGACAATATAAATTCATAGTAATATATAATTGTATGCATGCTTACGGTGTGTTGCCCGTTCGAATGTATGAACCTTATCTACCACCACTGCTATGTATATTGTCTGTATTCGACTGTCGGCGTAACCATCTCGTGTTCTAAAATAGTGTAGTGATCTCTCGTTACGCCATTTTCTCCTTAGAATGATTGGTTCGTCACGCTGATTATATAGAATACACGCAGGGTGTATAGTTTCAACATGGAATCCAGTTTAGACCCGATTTTTTTACTATCTATTTTATCAAGACAACCGGCGGCCAACCAAAACCCACCATCGAACCCCTGAAAGACCCCTTGAGTTTTCTCTGCTAACAAGTCAAATTACGTCATTTCCGTAAAAGGAACTAAAAATAGACTGCATGATGATTTTTGTCTCTTTTCTTTCACTATTTGGCGAGGATGTGCTCCTTGTAATACATTTGATTGGCAGGCGCGAAAACTCTGAATGTCATCGTCTTGATTTTTAAAAGCGAAGAAAAAAAATGAACTGTGCGCTGATTGAAAATTGCAGTTTATTATGTATTCATGCATTATTTTTTTCATTTAAATGAAAAAACAATGCAACTGTTGGTCATGTTCTCTTTCAAGGTAGGAAAAAACTTATTTTTTAATTTAAAACTTGTTTATTAGTGAATAAAATCAGAAGCTTTCATTAACACTATGAATTTTCCGAATATATTTTTTCGTGTGTGTTCATATTTATTCGATCAAAAGCATTTACACTTTTGTTTCACACTCTCATTGAATGTTTTATTGTTTCTCTTACTTGATCCTGTTACATGTGGTAATACGTTAGACTTTTGTTTGCAATTTAATTTAATCATTGTTCCAACTTATTTTAGGTTAACAAGGAGACAATTATAATGCATACCATTTTGATGCTTTTTAAAAAATGGAAAAGAACAAAAAAAATTTTTTTAAGTTCCCTTTGTTCAAAGTTGTCATTTTATTTTTGGTGAAATTTTTAACATCAAACTCCATGAGCTGGCTATTAAGATCCAGCAAAGATAGAATTCCTTTTGGCATGTATTGAAATGACTTATAATTTGTTCTTGTTAGAAACACAAAATTATCACATACCTTTAAAGATCATTGAGTTATGATCATTTAAAAAACAATGGTAGAAAACTATTCTGTCAGTGATGGTTTTCGTTTTAGAAGAAATTGCTCATTGTTTAGATCATAACATTTATCAATATTAATCTAAGACAAAAGATGGCCAATACCATTTGTGTAAACTTTTATAACAAACCTTTTAAGCTGGAGATATAACACGACTCCTTGTATACTTTATCATGCCAAGGTAATTTAAAACAAAGAATTTTTTCTTTTGTCATATTCAATACTAAGTTTAATTGTAATGTAAAGCTTCCTGTCACAATTGATATCACAAAAATTGAGCATTGCTAATGATATTTCAGTTTCTAGACTATCAACTATAAGTTCGCAGATTAACATATAGTTCATTGGTTTCTGCGATTGCACCTAACCCACTTCATCTGCACGTATGTGCCTGTAAATGATACGGTATCATACAAATATATTGAATAGCGATGTAATTTAAAAAGATCGAATCAATAAAACTTATTAAAAATGATTTGGTTTTTAAGAGCTACATTAATGATTTGATTTAGACAACGTTTTGAAGTCACGCAGAGGACTGAATGCATTTAGCGAAATGCTTGCAATTGATAATAACTGGTAAGGATTAATTCTATATCATCTTTGATGATTCTAACTTACTATACAGTTTAACCGGCTGCAATTTTCGTGCACTAAAAGCCTCCGATGGAATAGACTATACGAATGACGTCCCCTCATATGTGGCAAAGCATAGGTCTCGGAAAGTACACTGAAGATGACATGAAGAATGCTACTAGCATGATCCGTCTTTTACAAAAACACCATCATTGCAGAAGCCAATGCTTGAACCAACTGTTTGCTAATTTACAAGGAATCAAAAGTGGTCGGCACGTGATAACGATCATTAAAAATACTGAACAACCAATAAAAATGTGGCAAATTTTTGATCAGCCCCGGCAAACAAATCCGTAGTAGGAGTAGCAACAAGTGTGAAGTGGGTTTAATATCACTCAAACAAGATTACGATGTTATTTTAAGTTATACAATTAAACTTCCAGATTTGGTTAGAATTAATAAATTCAATTATTGTTTGGAGTGATATATCTTTGAATATGGTATATTGCATGTGCACTTGAGTTGTCCAGTTGCATGGATGTCCTATGTAGTAATGCAATAAAAATTCATAAGAAATCGGTGTCTATAGAATGAGTCCCGCTTAACATTCCGACAATCAAATCCTAACAGTCAAAATCCCGTAATAACAAACTCTCGAAATCCCGAAATATTATAATCCGACATTCATCCCGAAGTACCAAAATTCCGACATATCCAACATTTTGACACCTAAAATCCCAAAATATTAAATCCCGACATGGCCAAAAGACATCCAAAATCCTTACACTCAAAATCTGGACATTAAATTTTAACATGTCCTTGTAAAGACCACGCGAACCAAAATTTTTGACATTTCAATGTCAATATACATATATTTATCAAAATCGCGTACGTTGGCATCAAGATGTTATATAGTGTGTAATTTTGTTGGGATTAGGGTATGCCGAAATTTTGTGTATATGTTGGATGGGGTATGTTGACACGTCGGAATAGTATCCCGGAGTGTTCCTCTGGAGTATAACCTGGAATATTACTCAAAGCATAACTTGGGGTATTACTCTGGAACTGGGTTATGTCTGGCTCCATTGGCGTATGAACCCACCCATTAACAACTCAAAATGAAAAGTTAAATCTAACTTGAAGCATCGTCAAAAAGGCATATTATTTGGTTAATCCGATATTTCAATGGTCTGGATTTTCACCACGTGAACGCCCCTTTTTTGCCATGGCTGAGTTTGTCAATCAGTAAGCCTTTACTTGAATAGTCCACGATCGGCATTGAAGAAAGAAAGTTCATCTATCGATATACAAACAAAACGACCCCATGAATATACCCCATTATAGTATACCCACCCCCTTTTTTACTACATTACACATGGAATGTTAGATACCCGGATATTTTGCGTTGCGATTTACGTATTCTTAACAGATCACAAATTTTTTGATCGGCCGACAGAACAAATCCGACTCAGAGATGAAAAAGTCGAGAAGGCAATTTTACATGAAATCTTTCCTCACATTTATCCTGACTCAAATCGGACGTAATGAAAATTCAGAATCTAAATTAAGAAATTTGAAAGATCGTTTTTGTCGTTTTTGCTTGATACAGTGTACCTGATAAAACCAAAGTTTGGATGCAAAATGTCTTTGTGCCATGAGAAATTTCGAGATTGAACATGGGATCTAGGGTTGATCATGCACTAGTGAGTGACCGGAGGATATCTGCTAAATTTTCTATTTGATGTTGAGCGTGTGATAAATTTAACAACAATGCATAATATATCAAAAAGGGGATATCCAATAATTTACGTTAAATGAGCCAATAGGGACTTTTGTTACCCCCCTTCCACGTTAAATGATTGATATTCTACTCACATATAAAAAATTAACTTTCTTTGAGCCTTTTCTTTATACATCTATATGTTTTGCGCAGTAAAATTCTGTCGATATAAAGAATTTTTGCCTTATGGAGAGTTCGACTTAGAGATGTTTATGTTCTATTCCCATATTCTTTAATCTGATTGGCTAATAACCCTAATCCTAAATTCATGATAGAGGATGTATATAATATAATAGTTTTATGCGTTCCCTTAGTTCAACCAATCAAATTCGAGAATAATAGTTTCTAACTTTTTTTCGAAAAGTACGGGCGTTTATCTTTGTTTCGTTTATTTCTTAGTATTAAGTCCAGAACGGCGATCTAGAAACTATGCACGAGCCAAAGTATAGAATTTTGTCAATATTTACGCCCACTCATTGTCAGAAAGAATGTAGGATCGGGACAAGTCATCATTACCTTCTTGCCATGTTATATTGGACGAAAGTTTATCCATGAGATAACAGAAAAAATTAGGAGTATCTTGTTAAACAAACAAATAAGACAACTACTAAAGTTGGTTATTTAACAATCATCGAGACAGAAAAATGATTTAAGCTTGTAACACATGTGGATAATGAAGTTAGGTAGTACAAGACATTTTGTGTGAAAGTACATTTTTCCTATTATTGTTATTAAATAAAAATGTCGATACACTTTTCTTGAACTTCTAGGGTTACTTTCAAAAACATCTAAAAATAAATAATCTATTTTTTTTTAAGATAATTATAGAACTATAAAACTTTAATTTGAAATTAAAAGATATCGATCATACGATGAATTTAAAGCTTAGAATTAATGCAATCGAAATTTATTAAAGATTATTTTTGTTTTTTTTGAAAATATAATGAATACACATAAGTCTATAGTCAAACCTTTATAATCAATCATCTGTTAGCATTAACCATTGCTATAGTTTTTGAAAAAGATCCCAGTGAGTTGCTTGCGCTTTATAATTATGTTTAAAAGGCAAAAGGTAAAATAACAATATTTTTAAGAATAATTATAGAGCTGCTAAATTATGCACATGTATAGATTAAAAATTTCTTGATTTTAACGTTTCTAAACCTTTGTTGTTCTCACTACATGTATAATTTTGGATTAATATATAAAAATTGGTTTTATATACGTAATTACGTCATATAATCATGCAAATAGATGAATACCACAATCATTATACATGTAATCATACACACGAAAGCATTAAGTGAATCTGGTTAAAGAATTAATATGGAATCCACAATAAACCAGCAGAAAAATGGCAGGGTTTAAGAATACTTTGTTATTCCGAACAGGAAAAAAGTTGATAATCAGACATATTTAAAAAGGGGGATTTGTTATTCCAGAACACATTTAATCAATAAATTAGATAGCGTTAGGTGTTGATAATCGTTGTGCAGCACATACATGTATTCCTTATCGTTATTAATTGTAGGGTCAAAATCGATGGAGCCTAAAATAGGTGCATGCATTATATCACTTGTAAAATACAACATGCGTGTCAAAATTTGAAATCAACGTATTTATCTTCTCCCGTATTAAATATTATTTGCGTATCCACTAACACATTCTCATGTGCAGTAGATATATCAATATGATCTCTTATGAGGCTTTGTGAATATAAAAGTGAACGTAAATACATGTAAAATGAAATTGGCTGATGAATTTTGTGTAGTACGTATTTCGAACATTGTTAATCCATCACTTGAAGAAATTACGAAAAACTTGGCATTAGATTTGCTATATTTAGCAGAATGAATTTAAACTTTTCGAATCATCACTAAGAATCGACCTTTATGGCATCAATGAAGATTTCACATAATCTTCAATGTATGACTCTTTATGGGGAGAGTCATACATTAAAACGTGAATCAAATAATGGTCAATGCAAGACTATTTTTAGCAATTAAATTTTTCACTTTAAAGAGCTCAAACCTGTTCTTTGACATTTAATACCATGTTTTTTACTTAAATGTTAGTTCATATAAATAAACCCGGACCAAATCAATGTACGAACAGAAACACACGCACAAATGCCTCCTTTTTTTTGTTAATTCATTATACATGTGCTGTAACAATGAATAGAATAAGATAAAATATAATATAATATAAAATAAGATTAATATATAATATAATACATATATGATACATGATTTAATATAGTACATTAATGATAATATAATTAATTATTCTTAATTTTCTTTAATACACTAATTTTGTACCAAAAAACAATGTATAATTCGAATGACATCATCACCTTAATAAAATAATTTCAATCATCCAAAAATAAATTTTCTTTTTTTAGCATTGAATCTAAAGACACAATTGCACGCGAAATTTTCCTACTCAAAATAATATCTCGCTCCGTGAAGACTTGACAAAAGAAGATTATAAAAGTTTCTTTCACCAACAAACCAAAAGAAATGATTCTCGCAATTAATTTCAAAGAGAATCAATTATTCATCCGAACATTATTTAATCACAAATAATAATCTATTAATTACATATCGATATCTATTTTGGGGAGTTACTTTTGTGTCACCTGTTTTATTTAGAGACACACAGCCATTCATAATAATAATAATAGTAAAATAAATAAATTAAAATGTTACTACATACAGAATACAGTACTTACATTATTAGCGTGGATACCAGATATTAATACGTATGCCAATTGAACATCAATGACTAAAAACTAAGAGGCAACGGGTTTGCTCATCTTTCTTTTCCGCTACCAGATGTTACGATAATAGCAATTCCTTGAAATTTTTTAACGAAAACAAGTCTGTAAATGACGTTAAATATTAGATTTTAAAACCCGAAAATTTAAAAGAAACCACTCAAATACTATTTATTTACATTAATCCATAATTTCTTAGTAATATCTATCATTCTTCATTTTAATTTCATATTTCACTTTTTTTTTTCACCTCGAAAATATAATCTAAACAGACTATTATTTAATATTTAACGTTAATATCGTGACAACTGGCATCAGCTAATCATCATCTTGTCAATCAATCAATCAAAAAAAATGAATGAATTTAACGACATAAAAGACATAACGAGCCCCACAAGGACAGATAAAGGTATTGAAATTGAGATTTCTACGATAAAGCATATAAAACCAATATACGTTCATCAACAGCAAACACATAATGAAGAAGAGACAATCCCAACATCACATTCGACAGTCATAGAAACAACAATAACAGAAGAAAACATTGAATTAAAGCAATTAGGACAAAAAAACCAAAAATCACCGGTTTACAATACACCACAAGAGACAACCGGAGAACTATCAATAATGCCCATTATAAATCTGCTTAGACAAGGAATACAGAGACCGCAATTATTAGCAAGTAACACTTCGGCTGAACATTCACTCACAAAAGATTCAGTAATCACTCCAAGTTTACCTCCCGTGATAACCGAATTAAGTGCAAGAATTGAAACTACATTTGATCCAACAACGCAAACAACTGCCGCAGATCCATCGCAGGTCGATGTAGAGCGTGGTGGTGGTGGTGACGTTACATCAGATGATTCTTCTAATTCTTCGGTAGTAGTTGACAACAGAAGTCCAAAGAAAGGATTCTTTAGAAGGCATCCAATTAGAGCCATATTAATTGCAATTGTTCTTGTCTTATTATTGGGAGCATTGGCAATTCTAATAATTGGTAAGAAATGACTTTTTCTTATCTCTGTTCTTTATCGGCAGACATATGTGATCTATCATAATTGACTTTGTATGTTTTTTAAATTAGCATTAACAATCGGATTTAACAAAAAATAACATGTCATCCCAAGAAATTCTCTGAAAAGAATTCAATATTTTTTTCCTTTCCCCGTTCGCATAGTTAAAAAAATATGAAATATTCCGAATCACATTATATTTTTTATTGCGAAATATTCTGTATTTTATAATGTACATATTTATATAAATATTTATCAAAGTTGGTATTCAAGCATCAAAACAACGAGTTGGGTTAGATAAGAATAACACATATACACATATACATATATATATATATTTATCTATAGATGTATATACAGTTAATGCCTTGTCTTTGATTTTGAATTTCGATAAATATCGATATCTTCATTTCATTTTTGCAGAAATACTTAATAACATCATAGAAATAAAAGAGTCAAATATCGAATGCATATATTTTCGGTTTTCATGTCGGTATCTTTCTTTCATTAATACGAATATTTTTCTCAATACATGTATTTGCCGGTAAAAGGCATTTACTACATGCACAAACGAATCCCTTCGAAACGTAACAACAAATCCAACAAATCGTATAACAAGTGACCAAACTTCATGATCTGCATTATGCGTACATAGAGTGAGAACTAGGTTTAGGATCGTAAAACTAACGCATGTACCCCCTGAAACTTTGGGCGTGCGTGTATTTGTTTCGCTTATTGTCTAATGGAAGAATAATGTGTACGAGGAAGAGAGGCGTTTATTTGCTCACGACAAAAGTTAAGTTTTAAAATATGAGAGAAGGAATTAATTTATTTTAGAGATGTCTTGAATTGAAATACTGTATAATCATGTGAACTATTTTATATCTTTAACGTTTTAAATTTGAACAATTATGACACTCAGAAAATGGGTATTGTCATTGTCTTAATATATGTACATGTACGTATCGGTATGTCGTAATTTTAAATAAACAATGGAAAAAAGATCAGTCATAGTTCATTAAAAAATAAATTAATTTTATCGCATTATAACTTATTCCGACAATATTTATTTCATGCAAATCCAAAACATTTATTGTGCCAGATTAAAATGAAAACGAATGGGATAGGGTGCTTAACTAATCATAGATCAATTTAACGTTAATTTAATTTTAATACATGTACTCTAACCCTTTTCCAGAATTTTCAGCTCCCAAAAAACGGCCCAAATTTTGTTTTGTAACCCGTCATATTTATTGATTTTGATTATTATAATGGATACAAAATACAATTTATATTTTCTAATTACATGTAATAGAAATTTAGTGTTTATGTTTAATGTTTATTCATGTACATAGTTAACCCCTTAAATCAGTCTATACTGTACCTTTGATTTCTCGAAACACGCCTTTAATAGATAATTAACAAAGGAAACCTTTCAATATAAAGATCCCGATAAGACAAGAGGACTCAAAATAACAAACTAATAAAAGAATGGAAGCTTACACATACCTCTTTGAAAGATAATCAACCTATCAAATGCTTGTAGACATTGCAAGTACATGCACCTGCTGTGCTACAGTCAATCCTGTTAAAACCGAAGTTCGTTCCAGGATAAACCGCCTCAATAATTTTTACTAATAGTCCCGACCATTTCTGTTTGATGGGTTTGATAAATCCTTAATAACTTATTTGTGAAAATGTTGAATTTATTGAATATTAAAATTAAGGCATACGTCTATTACCATACGAGAGCCTTATGAATGTGTGCTACTGCACCATCAAAGTTAAGTCTTTATCACCTTTTTTAGAATCCCGTTAATGCAACATGGAAAAAGGAAACCTAAAGAAGGTAATTGCGTTAATATTCATATAAATCAAGCAACATTTTAAATTAAGCGAATGCAACAAGCACATAATACGCACATTACTAAAAGAATGGAATATAATACTGTCCATGTACATGTATTCCTATTTTTGCCGATATGAAGACTGCATCTCATATAAAGCGTGTGTAATTGTATTACATTTGAAGTGATGAAATAGCATATAATTATTAATTCTATTACATTTGAAGGAGAAATTGCATACAGCAATTATTAATTTCTATTTCCTTTTAATAGGTAATCGCAATTACTTTATTTATAGATTTTTAATTTATCGTTATCTAATGCATACATTTCTAAATCGCGGTTTATAATACATGTACCCCTCCCATTGTAAAGTTTAAACCTTAATATAATCTAGCTTTTTTTAGTAGAACTAATTACTTGATCCTAAATAAATTCAGAGTGTAATTTCTTGAAAACTTAAGTTACGAATTTAGACTAAATTAAAATTTAAATTTTTAAATTTTTCCAGGGGAGAGTATTATAAATCGCGATTTACGGTATTAAAAGCAAACAGTTTTATTTTATATAATTATTAGAAGAGTAAATTTAATTATATAAAATTTATAATGATTATGATAGTTAAAATTAGAAAAAGAGTATAATTATAAACAAATTCCTTTATTTGCTCTTAAAAAAGCAAAATTGAATAATTATAAAAAGAAGTTAAATTGGATATCATTAAGTAATATTATATTTCTTAATTTATAATTTGTAAATCATGCTAAATTTATAATTCTAAATTTTTCTTTAATTTCATTATTTCTATTTTAGATGATCACTTTACATTTTTTCTTTTTATTTTAGTATTAGTTTTATTTATTATCTTTGATGAAAAATATATAGCTTTTATTATATAAATAAAGTTAAAAAATATTAAAATAAAGTATAATTTAGCTTTAATAATTTTATCTTGATAATTATAATCTTCTTGTTATATAGTGTATTTGATAAGATATTCATATAGAAAGTCAAGTCAAGAATGAACAAATTTAATTCAATTTTATAAACTTATATTTATTTTATTAATATTAAATAATAATTATTAATTATAAAAAACTTTAAATAAATAATTAAAAGTATATGAATTATTAATACATATTAACTTATATAATAATACTTTTAAAAAATACTTATTATAATATTAATAATAAATTAAATAAAAGAATAAATAATAAACTAAACAAGAATAAGAAGAATTTTTAATTAAAAAACTAATTAATTATCTATTTATCTTATATTATGCTTGATATTTAAAAGATAATATAATATTGTTATCATAATGACATAAAATCTCTTAATTTCTTAATCTTTCTCTAGTTATGAAATATTACATTTTATTATAATTTTATTTATTTTATAATTATCTCTATTTTCTATA